CACTGGAAATGGGGAACACGACAAAAATTCCCACTGGATATGGGGAACACGACAAAAATTCCCACTGGATATCGACAAAAATTCCCACTGGATATGGGGAACACGACAAAAATTCCCACTGGATATGGGGAACACGACAAAAATTCCCACTGGATATGGGGAACACGACAAAAATTCCCACTGGGGGACACGACAAAAATTCCCACTGGAAACACGACAAAAATTCCCACTGGATATGGGGACAAAAATCCCACTGATATGGGGAACACGACAAAAATTCCCACTTATGGGAACACGATATGGGGAACACGACAAAAATTCCCACTGGAATGGGGAACACGACAAAAATTCCCACTGGAAATGGGAACGCGACAAAATCCCACTGGATGGGAACACGACAAAATTCCACTGGAAATGGGGAACCGACAAAAATTCCCACCACTGGGGAACACGACAAAAATTCCCACTATGGGAACGCGACAAAAATTCCCACTGGATATGGGGAAGCGACCCACAACGACAACAGAAATGGACAACGCGACAAAAATTCCCACTGGAAATGGGAACACAAGAATTCCACTGGAAATGGGGAACACGACAAAATTCCCACTGGATATGGGGAACACGACAAGAATTCCCACTGGAAATGGGGAACGCGACAAAAATTCCCACTGGACATGGGGAACACGACAAAAATTCCCACTGGAAATGGGGAACACGACAAAAATTCCCACTGGATATGGGGAACACAAGAATTCCCACTGGAAATGGGGAACACGACAAGAATTCCCACTGGATATGGGGAACACGACAAAATTCCCACTGGAAATGGGGGAACCGACGAATTCCCCACTGGAAATGGGGAACGCGATAAAAATTCCCACTGGATATGGGGAACGCGACAAAAATTCCCACTGGATATGGGGAACGCGACAAAAATTCCCACTGGAAATGAAAAAATTCCCACTGGATATGGGGAACGCGACAAAAATTCCCACTGGATATGGGGAACACGACAAAAATTCCCACTGGAAATGGGGAACGCGATAAAAATTCCCACTGGATATGGGGAACACGACAAAAATTCCCACTGGATATGGGAACCGACAAAAATTCCCACTGGATATGGGAACACGACAAAAATTCCCACTGGAAATGGGGAACGCAAAAATTCCCACTGGATATGCGATTCCATGGATATGGAACACGACAAAAATCCCACTGGAATGGGGAACACGACAAAAATTCCCACTGGATATGGGGAAACGCACGACAAAAATTCCCACTGATATGGGGAAACACGACAAAAAATTCCCACTGGAAATGGGGAACGCGATAAAAATTCCCACTGGATATGGGGAACACGACAAGAATTCCCACTGGATATGGGGAACACGACAAAAATTCCCACTGGATATGGGGGACAAAATTCCCACTGGATGGGGAACGCGACAAAAATTCCCACTGGATATGAATTCCACTGAATTCCACATGGATATGGGGAACACGACAAAAATTCCCACTGGATATGGGGAACACGACAAAATGGATATGGGAACACGACAAGAATTCCCACTGGATATGGGGAAACACGACAAAATTCCCACTGGATATGGGGAACACGACAAAAATTCCCACTGGATATGGGGAACACGACAAAAATTCCCACTGGAAATGGGGAACACGACAAGAATTCCCACTGGAAATGGGGAACACGACAAGAATTCCCACTGGATATGGGAAACGCGACAAAAATTCCCACTGGATATGGGGAACACGACAAAAATTCCCACTGGATATGGGGAACGACAAAAAATTCCCACTGGATATGGGGAACACGACAAGAATTTCCCACTGGAAATGGGGAACACGACAAGAATTCCCACTGGAAATGGGGAACACGACAAAAATTCCCACTGGATATGGGGAACACGACAAAAATTCCCACTGGATATGGGGAACACGACAAGAATTCCCACTGGGGAACACGACAAAAAATTCCCACTGGATATGGGGAACACGACAAAAATTCCCACTGGATATGGGGAACACGACAAGAATTCCCACTGGAAATGGGGAACACGACAAGAATTCCCACTGGATATGGGGAACACGACAAAAATTCCCACTGGATATGGGGAACACGACAAAATTCCCACGGAACACGACAAAAATTCCCACTGGATATGGGGAACACGACAAAAATTCCCACTGGATATGGGGAACACGACAAAAATTCCCACTGGATATTCCCACTGGATATGGGACACGACAAAAATTCCCACTGATATGGGGAACACGACAAAAATTCCCAATATATTCCACTGGATATGGGGAACGCGGGGGGAACACGACAAAAATTCCACTGGATATGGGAACACGGATATGGGAACACGACAAAAACCATTCCCACACGCGACAAAAATTCCCACTGGATATGGGAACACGACAAAAATTCCCACTGGATATGGGGGGAACGCGACAAAATTCCCACGAACAC